AATGATTATGGCTCTAGACCGCCTCATGCAAATAAGATTGGCCATATATGTACAGAGGAAGGATATGACAGAAAACATCCCCAAATTCATGATTTAACCCTAACCCTAACCTAGCCCTTGTCTCTCCTTAACCTTTTTGATTGCTCCTAACCCCCCTAACTATAAATCAAAAGCTACTTTACCGCTCCTAACCATTTTTCAATCCGAAATGTTGCTTTCAAAAATCTCATTTGGGGACGTTTTCTGTCACCCCCACAGAGGAAGGAACATAGAATTGAATCTAGGTCTTCCTTTGATACATTTTATTAGAGGCTACTAATAGATTGCTATACCTGCGGTTGCTTGAACAGGTCAACCTCTACATTGGTGTAAAACAGCAGTGACGAACACCTGATCTTAAAGCTACAGCTGCCAAATATCAGGAGTAGGTGTAACAACCACTTGTGACCTACATCTTTTTCAAACCACCATAGCTACTAAACGGTTAGGCCGATTTAGCTCAAATTTTGTATAGGGATTGCTTTGTTCTTAATCTAACCCTATACCAAATTTCATAGAGATCGGAGCATTTTGAAATTTTTGATAATTTTATTGGTCAACCTACCAGTGGCTGACACGAATATTCGACCTGTGGGTACATCAAACCTTTCAATAATCAGTCTGGTGGTAATCATACTGTGGCCTTTCTACTCACTTGAAAAAAGGGTCAATAGACCCAAAATATTGTGAGTGATTTTATTTGGTGAATTGAATTGTTACAATTGTTAAATACGGGTTCTCTTCAAACTTGTTGAGAATTTGTAAGTGTTTTTGTTGGAGATATAGTTACAGCTTAGGCTGGGAAACTGCTACTTAAGATAGCAACTCCTCATTTAGCTACACCAACCCTTAGCTTAACAAGGTTATAAGTGTATGTGCAATTTTGCAATTGCCAGTCTCTTCTGATTGTGCTAATCCCTAACCCCAAGTCCCAGCCAAAGTAAACATAACTTGGCCAAACCACAAGTGACATTTTACAATGAACATTAATGGTGACTGTCTAAGGTCAATAGTAAGCCAAATGTTATTATATTTTCTCTTACAGGTTTGTATAAGTCACTCATTTCCTTTTGTTAACATTGTAATGACCAATTTAAAGAAAGAAAGCTGATTTAAACACTAAAAGGCGTATAAAATTTTTGATATAAACAATATTTCTATATTCTTTTTATCTAAAATATGCAATACTGATATCTTATTTTTTGGCCACTGGGCTATTTTCTATATTAATTAGGATAACTTTTTCCTCAATATCTTTTATTGTACCCTTTGTTTTGGATACAAAGTCTGAGTCTCTTGTGAAAGCTTTTATACAACTTTTAGATGTACCAATTTGGAATTTGTTGAAAATCCTCCTCTACTGCCTTCCACAAATTTTTTTTCTCTCTAAGGACATGGTTTGGTAACATATATATATGATATACTGATATAATCAATAAATGGTCCTAAATGTGTTGATGTGGTCTGTTTTTTAATGAATCCATGAACAGTGAACAATTGGTAAATTAACCAATAATGACAATTCTTACTCTTACTACAAAGCTTTTTGTATGCTAAGATAGTTTTGAAAGAGATAACTATCAACTGAATTTCACACTCAAAATCAACAATATATAAAGTGGACGACAGGTGTGTTGGAACACCTCAAATTTTTATAGGCCAAATATTAAAAATCTTTTTCGTGATGAACAAAGATTATTTTTTTTATTTTTTTAGTGTTTAATAATAGGTTAAACTTGCAATTTTATATAAATTTCTTTAAAACAGCAGTTAGGTATGTTTTTACATATTTTTTTTTATAGAAATTACCATAGTTTTCTGATTTTTTTTTCTTATTTGGCTGCGTGACATGTTTATTGGAACAATGTTCAATAGTTAAATTTTTGGTCTACTTTTGTCTGTGCCCACCCTCTCTTTCTATACATTTGCTTATTCTACGGCCCATTCCTCCATATAAGCCTGGCAACAAGAGGGGATTTCTGTTGATAACCTTGTAGGAGCATTTCTTAACCTTTTCCCACAGTTCATCCTCTGTCTCAAACTGTGGACCATCATAGACCATTGTCTTGGTCAAATGCCACATGTTCTCTATTGGACTTAGATCAGTGCTCCTTGCTGGCCAATCTATGGGCTTGATATTATTGCTTTTAAAGGCAGTTTTCATTTTTCTTGCAGTGTGACAGCCAGCATTGTCTTGCTGGAAGATGTACTGCCTGCCCATTTTTGCCTCAATTTCTTCTATGACAGGCAGAACATCTTCCACAATGAAGGAGCTATAGTTTTCAGCTTGCTCCTTATCCTCCAGACTTCAAATATGCCATCAGAGGTTATCAACCCCCACACCAATACTCTCCCCATATTTTTTGTGACCCTGAAGTCCTTTTTGCTGTTACTGGTCCAAGTCCTAAAATTGTCAGGTCCACTTAGCGAAAACCTAGCCTCATCAGTAAAAATAACCCTAGACCAGTCTAGATTTTCGCTAATAACTTTGAGGCAGTACACTTTTCTGCATTTACAGTCTTTGGATGTGAGATCAGTTCTTTGTCTGACTCTAATATATTTGAAATTTTGTCTTTTCAGCTCCCTCTGTATTGTTCTTATGCTTACATCTACTTCTAATTCTTTTAATATCTTTGCTGCTATCACTCTTTGCTTGTTATCTTTCAGTTTCTTTACAATTCTTTTCATCCTTGCTATCTCTCTGTCGGAAAGCTTCTTCGGACCTCCCCTATGTCTTGTTCTGGCTTCTTATACTTTAGTATGTTGCTAATTGATGATAGTGCCATTCCTAAAGCTCTTGCTGTTTTCTTAAATTAAGCTTATTTTGAGGTATTGAGCAAGAACATTGTTCCTAGTTACAATACTGGGAAAATTTTCCAGCAGGATGGGGCTAGTTGTCATACAGTATCCAGAACAGAAAAATACCTAAAGACTAATGACTAATGGCCAGTAGTTTATATCCAAACAGTACAAGAAGGGAGTGGGAAAACTCATCCCTGGGAAAAGTCTACCCCTTTTTGGGAAAACTTGTCCCCTTTTGGTAAGAGCAAGTTTTATCATTTTTAAAAGAAAGTATAAGAAATATATATACTTTAAAATGAGAAATCTTTTTTTGTAGTTATAATACTTAGCAAACTAAAACTCTGCTTTTGAGAAAACTGGTAGATATCAAACTCTGCATTACCAGGTGTATTTCATGACAAAGAAAGTAGTCCCTTTCTTCCTGTTTACATGATTTGAAAGTGTAAAGGTAAAATTTAATATTGTTATATTTGCTTAGCCTATAAAGACACAATCCTGTGAGTATAATTTTAATGTTAAAAAATGTTTATTTCATATATAGATTGTTACATTTTTTTTCCAGTGAAATATTAAACTCAAAGATGGCTTCACTTTGTCCAAACTGTGACATTCGATTTTATGGCAGACAAAAGAAGATAAAATGTGTTGAATGCCAAAAATTTCTCCACCAAAAGTGTCTCAAAGGTAGATGTCTTTTCATTAATATATAGATATATCTATTTATATTTAATAAGCTCTTTTTTAAAGATCCAACTCAGCACATTTGCAATCTTTGTGGACCATTCCACAAAATGACATTGAAATGCATATATTGCAATCATACATGTATAGAATGAGGAAGAAAAAGCAGATCAAAATGAAAAATTCACACTTCTTCATGGAGGAAGCCAGAGAGGCAAGGACATTCTATCACATGATGGATTTGCTTTTAATATAAAGAAAAGAAGTGAGAATATGATAATTTGGAGATGCTCTGTCAGAAATAAAAAAAAACATTTGTCCTGCAACAATCAAACAAACAGAAAATATATTTGTCTCAAGTCATATAAATCATAACCATGAAAAAAGGAAGAGTTTAATATCAAGTATAAAGGCAAGGAGAGAACTAAGAAATATTTGTAATAATGATGTCAGGTCATCAGGCAGAAAAATTGCTGAAGATATTTTATTAAAATGTTCAGCTGAGGAGAATAGTTTGCCAAATATGGAAAATTTGAGAAGATTAGGTAATATCACCAGACAGAAGAAAAGACCTATAACATCAAATGGTCCATTTCTTGAGATAAATATTGATTTTCTTCCTGATGATTTCCTGCAAAGAGATGTTTCATTTGGAAATCAGAGAATAATCATATTTGCTTCCAAGCAACAGTGTGACCTTTTATCCAAAAGCAAAGTTTGGTATCTGGATGGTACATTTAAGGTTGTCAGAGAACAATTTGTTCAACTTTTCTCCATCCATTCTTTTATCAAAAAAGATGAAGAAACAAAGCAGATTCCTTTGGCATTTATTTTCATGACATCAAAGAAGAAGAAAGCATATAAACAAGTATTAAGGGTAAGTTAATAAACATTTTGTCTAACCTCTAAATTTTATCATATTCTCTAGGAAATTCAAACAATTACAATTTATTCCAAACCAAAAAAGTTCTTTGCTGATTATGAGTTAGGATTATGGACTGCTTTATCATCTGTTTATCCTAATGTACCAATTCAAGGATGTGTTTTCCACTGGACACAAGCAATTTTCAGAAAAATCCAAGTAATATACTAAATTACATAGTTTTATTATATAATCATTTCATGTTTTTAGAATTTGGGATATGCAACTGAATATAAAACTAGGCTGACCTCTAAAAATATGATGAGAAATTTATTGGCTCTTCCTTTTCTTCCTTCTGAAGGAATATGACAGAAAACGGCCCCAACAGAAAACAGCCACAAATCAACAGAAAACGGCCTCAACTTGAACATAAAACGGCCCCAACTGGAACAGAAAACGACCCCAACTGAGACAGAAAACGGCCACAGGATTCTTCAACCTAAAATATATAAAACAAGAAATGAATGAAATTTTGAAAGTGTGTTTATTTGAACAGTTGAATACATTATGAGACTACAACTTAAAAGATCATGCAATTTAACAACAATTGATTTATTTATTGAGCTACTAAATAAAGTTCAGAACACTTTAGTAGAACTTCTGATGAAGTAATTTCATGCTGTTCAAATCTTTCCCAAATTGAAAATATTTTATTTTGCAGGTTCTTATAAAGCTTTCTTTGGTATCTTAATATCTTCTTTTCTGATAACATTCTTTGATATGCTGGTATAAGGTCTGCTTCCCTTTTCAATTCATCTATCACAGAATAAAATGAAACATTCACTCCAACATTTCCATTCAACCTATTGTGAAATCCCTCAACATCATTATTTGTTCTGATTGCACATTGATAGATAGACCAACGTTTTGGTGACCAAACATCATTCAAAATCCAAGTTCTTTCAAAATAATCAATAAAATCAGCAAGTTTATCAATTGATTTAAGGTAATCCTTAATTTTAATAAACTCTATTGGAATAATGTGAGATGGAAGGAATGGCAAAGCCATTAGCTGTCTCATTTCAAACCATTGTCCATTTTTTTTGTTGAAGTCTGATGAATAACCAAGCTCCTAAAAAAACAAAATTAAAAATGACTCCAGTTTGAGTTTTAGTTGAATAATACCTGAATTTTTCTATAAACTGCTTGATTCCAATGGAATAAGCATCCTGACAGATTTACATTTTCCCAATTATTTAATACAGCTTTCCAAACAGCTTTTTCAAAATCCATAACTATCTTTTTTGGTTCCTTATATTGTAGCAGTTGATTAATGCACTGAAAAACAGTGAAATGAATATTAAATGCATTTCAGAGAAAATTTCAAGTTGAACTACCTTGAATAACAGATTATATGCTTTTTTCTTTTTTGATGACATGAATGCATATAGAAGAGGAACCTGTTTTAATTCACCTTCTTTTTTGAGGAATGAGTGAAATAAAAATAACTGTGTAAATGGGTCCTTAACAATCTTGAAAGTTCCATCTAAGTACCAGACTTTTGACCCTGCAAGTAAGCTAAGTTGTTTTGAAGTGGAAAAAATAATCACTCTTTCATTATTTTCAACGACATCTTTCTTTAAGAAATCATCAGGAATGAAGCAATTATTAATAAGAAAGTTTCTTCCAATAGGTTCATTGGGACGATTTTTTCTTCTATGGTAATTTATCATTTCTTTGCAATTTTCAACTTTTACAATATTTCCCATATTTGCAAAATGAAGCAGAACATTTTCAGCTATTCGTTTTCCACTAACATTGGTGTCAGTCTTTCCTTTTTGTTTTGCTGTCACTTTCATTTCAATAATTTGTTCTAAATTTTTTTTGGGGGGGTGAATATGATATTTAGACTCCAAAGAGAAGTTATTATTTCTTTGAATGACACTGGCAGGACATTTCATTTTCTTGCTTCTAACTCCACATCTCCAAATTATGGAAGTCTTGTCTTTTCTTTTGACAACAAATGAGTGACCATTAGATACAAGTAATTCTTTGCCTTTTTGACTTCCTGTAGGGAATATTCTGAATTTACCATTGCTGTCATAGTTCACCTCTGGTATACTTTCAAAGGACTCCTCCATATTGATATCATTCTCATTCAAATGTAATGTATTTCCATGCAGAGGGCTGCTTTCACTAAGATTATTATCAAGCCTGTACTCTGCATCACAATTCAGTGTTTCAATAAGGGTAACCACTTCTTCATGATCAACATCCATTATTATATTTTGCACATCTATCTCTTCTCTTGTATGATTTAGATCTATATTTTCAGCATTTGAGACTTTATTGGTAGATTTATCTTGTAAAATTTCATCACATTTGCTCAGAATAATTCTGATTCTTTTTTTATCAACACTTGAACATATAGAACATAATCCATCTACAAAAGAAAGAGCTTAGTTTACATTAAAATCAATTTGGATCTTACCTGATAAACAAGCCCAATGGACTTTATGATGACAAAGTGAACGAACACCTTGCTTCAGCTTATTAATCTTTTTCTTACATCCAAAACAATATGGTAGCATTGTGGCAAAAATCTCCTTTGAGCTGCTTTAACCTATTGAAAATGGGAACAGGGAAAGTTTTCTCTAGGAAGAACTTCTCATGTGTTTAATATACAGTCCCAGCAAAAAATCTATATATCTCAACTCTAGAAATATATCTCTAGAAATATTCTCCAGAAATATATCTCAACTTTGAATGAGCATCTACTGCCTATCTATAAAAGTGTCTAAATCTTTTTTGAGAAAAAACAAAATGAAATATTTAAAAGATTGGCCAGCACAAAGTCCAGACTAGAACATTATAGAGAACCTCTGGGCAGCTCAAACAGAGAGTTTACAAGAGAATTCCAAAAAATCTGGAGGATTTGAAGGCTATCTTAGAGGAGGAATATTTTTTGATTTCTGAAGGCTATATAAAAAATTTATATACCTCCATAAAAAAATATCATTCAAAAGAAAGGATATGCCATCAATTATTGAGTCAAATTGACATTTTTACATTAATTTAAATACATGCCAGAAATTTTACCTCCTTCATTTTTGCAAAATTTTTTGAATAAAAATTACTGGAAAGTAAAACAAATTTTTAAATGAATTTTATCTTTAAATTTGGTTCTATAAATGTCTTCTTCATTCTAAATAAAAAAATATAATTAAGCAAGTCCTGTTACTTAAATATTTCACATTTTTCATTTCAAGAACAATCCTGCCATAGATTTTTTGCTGGGACTGTATATTAAACACATGAGAAGTTCTTCCTAGAGAAAACCTTCCCTGTTCCCATTTTCAACAAACCCATAAAAAATTCTTACATAGTTTCTATAGCTTAGTTGAAAAAAAAACCAGAATGAAGGAATGTTAACATTTAATAACATTATTCATGTTTAGTTAATGAACTATTTTTGTAATTGTTATTACTTTTTAAGCTTTGACACATCCCTGCTTAAAATTCTTGTCACATTTCATTTCAAACAGGAAGTAATATTTTTAAAAAAACATAGGTGTTTTGGCAAAATTTAGTGCTGAATTTGTGAATAAAAAAAGGAAAACTGCCTAATTGCAATTTTTTAAGTGCAAATATGCCTTAAAAAAGGAACAAAATGGTATATAAATTGCTTGATCTTGTAAAAAACAATAATCACATTTCAAAGAAATAATAGGAAAAATGTATATAATATAGTTAATGAAAAATAAGAAATTTATCATAGTTAATAAACTAAACACAACATAAAATGTTGTGGCCCCTTTTATTTGTATCAATAATTTTCTAGAAAATATAAATTTATGCTAAGTATTTCTTTTTTTGGTTTTGTTGAAAATGGGAACAGGGAAGGTTTTCTCTAGGAAGAACTTCTCATGTGTTTAATATACAGTCCCAGCAAAAAATCTATGATAAACTGATAATAAATATTTTGGTGTTGAAGAATTAAATTATATTAAAATTAATCAAAATGAAATAATTAAATTACAAACTCCACCAATTCAAATAGTATTATTCTGCATAACTGGTAAATAATTTAAAATCAAAATTACAAATCAATTGTTAGAATATTTTTCCTAACCCTTCCCAACCCAAAATCTCACCCCAAAATACCTGCAAAATGGGCATTTTCAACAGCCCCCTCACAATTGTATTATTGAATGAATAATAAGGACAAACAATTAAATAGGCAAAAAGCAGTATTATTTCTACAACTATATCAATTCATTTTTCACATCAAATATTTATGAGAGATATTAAGTTTAAGCTTGGATTCAAAGTTATTTCCATCTTTTCTCACTGGTCAGTTTCTTATTTCACAAAGTTGCCCACTGAAATCTTTTTTACATGAGCAAAACCAAGAGTATCCAATACTTGAACATGTACCTTTTAAAATAACATGATAATGTTGATTGTGAAATAATACTCTTCTGATTCTTACCTCCATTTTTGCAATTGATAACTTTCTTACACAAGAAATTAGGTTCACTATAGCTTTGGGATTTAGGACCAGGAATGCCCTCAGAACCCGTAGTATCCTCAGGACCAATAGAAAAAGGAGTAGATTGTGGATGAACTGTATCAGGTTGATCTGTGTAACCTTTTACAGCAGGATTTCTGTGACCTTTAATACCTTTTGCAGCAGGATTTCTGGGACCTTTAACAGCTTTTTTACCAGGGGCTTGTCTGGGACGTTCATTCTCAATATCAAGACACTTAGAATCATCAAACCTATGATTTGGAACTTCATGATCAGGAAGTATTTTACAATGGTTACAATGTTCCCCAAAGAAGCCTTCGTGACACCGACAATGCCTTGTAGCAGGATATTAAACACATTTCCCTTTTAAAACAAATATTTAAATGTGGATATTGATTATTAATAATCCTTTTCTTACCTCGATTATTACAATAACAGTCATTACACAAATTGCCAGGACCATTAAAATGGTGTTTTTATAATATAAGCCAAAATGTTTTAACAATAGTTTAATGGTCTCAAAGCAGCTTATCTACTTATATTCTAAATTTAGTTTAATCCAGATGATTTACTCCTGTAGTCTTTTTAGACCTTTTTCATACCTGACAAAGACTTTGTTCAAGCCGAAAAAAAGCATTTTAGAAAGATCTATTAGGTTTAAAAGATAGATTTAACTGAAAGTTGATTAGGGTGAAATTGTCACATCGATGATGGAAGAAGAAAATAGTTTGTTTCAAAAACTGAATTGGAATAGAAACCCTTGTTATCTACAGGATGCAAATTATTTTCCAATTTTTGCAAAAGTAGATAGAAGTTCAAGGTCATAAAAAGTAATTATACTTATCAGTATTTATTGTTGAATATGTGAAAATTTTAGCATTTCTATACCAAAAATCATTTGAATTGTTAAAAGTAGATTTATCATTTAAAATAATATCTTTCTCATTGTCTCTTGAGCATTGGTTTGGCCAATCTATGTGCTTGCAGGTTACAACAGTAATGTTTAAATTAAATGGTTTATATGAAATAAAAATACTTAAACAAGTAACAATAGGAGTTTTGTAATAGCGGGTTACCAAATTACCAAATTTTATCTTTCAATTTTGAGGAGTAGAAGGCTAGCTTCAATTGAGGGTGTTTCCAAGTGATCTACTAAGGTCCTTGGATCCAGATATAAAAGAATAGAATGATAATAATGAGAATTTATATAATTTGAGGTTTGTCTCTGATATCCAATCATCACTTTACAGTTTGTCAAACTGTCTAGTTCATATGTATGTTTAGTAATGGGATGTTACAATGTTCAACATTTAGGAAGGTTAATTGAATTATAACTTGGCCAAATGTTAACTGGCAATTAAAGATGAACCTTCAAGCTGACTAATCAAGACCTGTTAAGCTGGCTTAACTTGATTATAATGTTACAATTTCATTAATATATGAATCTCTCCTTCAATACTTGAAATCGGTATTCTCTAACTTTTATCATTTCTTAAATTTTGTATTTTGTTGTATTGAGATTGTAGGTATTTTGTTACCATTCCATTGAATATTACACCATTCATTATGAGTTATTAGGTCAGATAAATTTTAGATGGTCAGCTTCTTTTGTAAAATGTAACAATTTTTATACCTCTAAGTCATGTAAAATCTTCCTAGCTGTCGCCCTTTCCTTGTTTCTTTTAAGTCTCTTCACGATCCTATTCATTCTTGCTACATCTCTATCTGTGAGTCTCTTCAGATGACCCCTATTCTCTTGCTTGGGTGGCTTATACCTTAAAGTGTCACTAACTGTAGATGACACCATTCCCAAAGCTCTTGCTGTTTCCCTTACTTTTCCTAATTCTTCAAACTTCTGGATTACCAGGTTCCTAACCTCTTTTCCCCTGCCATAATGAATAAATGATATAAAAATAATATAAAGTAGGAAAAATAGATAATAAGTAATCAACTTAACTTAGAAAATTAATTTTGTTGAAAAAAATTTCAGTTTTAAAACAAAGATAACATTTTCGGGGTGTTTTAAAAATTGGCCTATCAAAATTTACAGTGTCCGGGTATTTCAGGCCTTTACTTTATATATACAATATATATAGATAGCATTTTACACAAGTCCAGTTTATCTTTTATTGATTGCGTAGTGTTCAGTCTTTTTTGTATTACACCAAGAAATAGGTCTATATTTAGATATTTCCTTTAATTTTCATCATTTTCTGTTTTCATTGACACTCAAAACGTTTGCTTCAAAGCTAATCTAAATCTAATGTTACAATCTGTATATTTAATATAATACAAGGGATATACTTTGTATTTTGTATTTAAAAAAGAAATCTAGGAGCGTCGTACCAGTTAAAACATGAATTGAACAGAAATGAATACTTGGTATTTGATTCTCTGGTTTCACATCTATGTTATTCTATCCTAACCTATCCTAATTTTCTTCTACACAATCATTCTACCTATCCAGCATACATTCCCAACAAAACAGTAATCTATTCAAATGACAATTTTGATTTCTAAAAATGACAAACATTTTTTTCTATTGTAGACAATTCAATTCGTTTACATCGGTTTTGATAAGTACATATCCATTAATAAAACCCCTACATAATGGGCATTCAGGCTTTGTAAGACTAAATATACACTCTTTACAACTAATAACGTGATTACAGGGAAGTATTAAAGTATCTGCTAACTTATTGAAGCAAAGCTTACACTGCAGATCCATTTTAACATCTTGAAATTCTCTTGATTCAGCATTTGATGATTTGTCCAAATTCATATTACAATTTCTAAGAGGAAAATTGATAAAATTTAAAAGTGTTTCTTCTCAAATTTAATGCAGAGGAAGTGACAAAACTGGAAATCAAGCGTCTCCTAAATCAACAAAAACTCCTGGAAATTCATAGAATATAGAATCATACATGTTCTGAACTTACTGCTCTAATTATTTGTTAATCATATAACCAGCAAGCAAAATGTGAATAAAATTTTAACGGATGTGGTTGAAACAGTTTACAATTTTATGGTTTTAATACAACTTCTAGTCAAATTATGGACATTGTTTTCATTTTTTCATTATTAATATACCTTAGTACATAAAGTTCTATTTTTACAAATTACAATCAATAAAATTAATTTTATCATAATTTATTTAGCAATTTTAAATTCTTAACATCAATCAATATCTGGAAAATCTTGTCCTTAAAAATGAGTTTCAATTGAATTGAGTGACATCTATAATGTAATAACCATATTCATAAATATTTCCTCATTCACCTCTATCATTAGCTTGGGCTCAATTGGTCAAAGGATTACAAAGTTGAAATCTGATTAATTAATAATTAATAATTCTCATGTAACAAAAATATGAAAGACTGTTATGTCACATATATAAAATAAAAGGATTCGACACAAAACATCCTCAAATTTGAACAGATACAATGAAATAATTGCATTCTACTCTTTATGATACTACTCACTCTCTGTCATATAAACATATTTTTTCAAAGAACAGTATTAT